GTCTCTCATGTAATTGGGGCCACCTTGGTAATTCCTTTGATTTCCAACAGTAATTCTTCCCTCATCAGGCCCGGACATTTGGCGAGAATTTGGTGCTGCAGCGCTGGAAGTGGACGAAAAGGTCAGAGTTTGGCCCTCAGTGCAGCCTGCAGCGACCCTTCAGCCGATGGGGAACTGCGTCCAAAGGATCCAGTTTAACGGGGTTTGAATTGGGAATAGAATAGGAATACATACATATATATATATATATATGTATACGTGTATACATATATATATTTTAAATATGTATAAACATGAATACATAATAGATATGTATATATATATACATATATATATATATTATGTATTTGATCAACCATGATTGGACATGTGGACATGGATGCCTATTTGTGAGTGGGATTTGATGGGGAAACCTCCTACAAGGTGGTGCCCCTCCAGTTATGGTTCTTGAATTATAACCACCATTAACTATACATAGATGTCCTTTTCCCATTGGTTGGTTGATTAAAAAAGAGGGGTTTGAAAGTTTGTTTGATGATAGATGGTATACCAAACCGGCCCAAACCTATTTTTACCAAAAGGACATTATTGTAACTATATAGAATACTATAGATATATCTACCATAAACCCAAGTTAACCAAAGTTATTGGAGTTATTTTCACCAACTTGGCTAATGAACTGGGGCACCACCTCGTATCAATGGATCACTGAACCAAATGGGTCATTGTGCAGGAAGCTATGTTTGATTTTTTTAGGGTATTGAGATCAGACAAAGTTGGCCAAGAAACACCTCCAAGTTACCAAGTTGGCTTAGTTCCCCCCATTTAACCGGAGTGATACTTTATATCCAAGAAGTCAATCCCGCAGTCACTGCAATGAAATATATAAACTGAAAAATATATATATAGATGTTGCTGCCAAGAAAACAAATGGCTAGCGGCTAGTGTAGTTGACGCTTCTGGTGAAAGCCGAAGCATAAAGAAGCTATGGCCACGGACCGCATCAAGTTTAGTTGACTCCCTTTTCAAGTTATATAAGATATATAAGTAAATGTATATATATATATAATTATTTATTTATTTATTGACACAAGCCTAATAGCTGTAACAGCGAGCACGATCTAGAGCACGATTTTGGGCACGAAGGAGAGCACAAAAAAGCACGATCTAGAGCATGATTTTTGGCACGAGGGAAAGCACCAAAAAACATGATTTGTGGCACGAAGGAGAGCACCAAAAAGCACGATTTGTGGCACGAAGGAGAGCACCAAAAAACACGATCTAGAGCACGGTTTTGTGGCACGAGGGAGAGCACCAAAAAGCATGATTTTGCGCACGAGGGAGAGCACCAAAAATCACGATTTTGTGCACGAAGGAGAGCACCAAAAAGCAGGATTTGTGGCACGAAGGAGAGCACCAAAAAGCACGATCTAGAGCACGGGTTTTGGCACAAGGGAGAGATCCAAAAAGCACGATCTAGAGCACGATTTTTTGCACGAGGGAAAGCACCGAAAAGCACGATTTTGTGCACGAAGGAAGACACTCAAAACGACGTTCGCCCAAACTATAAAGTTTTTTTTTGACTGTTACAGCTATTAGGACGGATTCAATATATATATATATACACATCTCTCTCTCTCTCTCTCTCTCTCCGTTATATCCCAACAGAATTAAACTTAGTTAAACTTGGCGACCCCAAGAATCGTCGGTGACTTGGTGCCCAGTTCCAATGGGACCCAAATGTGACTGGCCCGACTTAGCCTACTGAATTCAGCAATGGGTGAGCGAAGCCGCGTATTCCTGGGATAAGCGGCTTGTTTCAGAGCTAGATATTCCATTCGTATCCCATTGTTGATTAAAATATATCCCGAAGAATTATTGAGCATTATTGATAAAATACATATTCCTTATTTTGGCAAATATATCAATACGAACATGTTTATTCGTATCCCATTGGTAAAACCCAGAGTTTAAACCACCACACTTAGATTCGCTGAGTCAATGATTGTTTCATTTCTCAATGGAACATTCACTAGTCACTACTTGGAAATTCCACAATGGAGGACTTGTTTTTCTGGAGGTTCCTTGAGCAAATCCAAGTTACATCCCCAATCTTGGATAGAATGGAAGGTCACCAGCCAACCAGCAGAAGACAATTTGTTGTGAGCTTTTAACGCAGGTTGACTATGACATGGAATATACACGAATATATCTTCTGGGTATATCTGTTGCCATCCGATGGTTTTTGATGGATCAAAAAGATTCCTTTTTGACACCTGACAGCTCGACAACTATCATGAAGAGGAGAATAGGAGATTAACCATGGATTAAGTCATGGTTAGATCATTAACCCATACATATCATAAATTTCCTCTGGACTTCACCATGATCTAGGGGATTTCAGGCCCTGCCATGGCTTGCACTGGGCGGTCCGCGCAAGGCCGATATTGGGATGTTGGGATGTTGTTGGTGAACTTTTGGTGGAACAAAAAAAGGATACCACCGAAAAGGTCCTATGTAAGGGATATGTATTGGAATGGAATATAGGATATATATATATATATTATATAGCTTAATATAGGTCAAAACCTGCTTAAAACACTTTGGAGGTAGCCCATAAGCACCAAAAAAGGATGCCAAGGGGGGTATACCAAAATGTTCGTTGGATCATATTTTGCCTCATATTTTCAGGTTTCTAACGTTTCGGCATTTTTTGGGGGGTGGTGCTATAACAAGCTACAACCAGAAACCAGAGTTTATGGTGATTCTAACTAGGGTTTGAGATGATAGAATATTGATGCTAAATATTTACTGTCAATGGCTTGGCACCCAGACCTACCATGGTTGGTTTCGCGTCATGTTAAATTAATTATAGATATATCTACCACTTTGTTTGCCCACTAGTTAGAAATTATAGATATACATGCCATAGACGACCAAAAATCAGCTTTAAATTTTAAACCATGTTATAGATTTCCCCTAGCCATAAAGTGACTTACCTATTGTTTTGAGGGGCCACCTTGTACAATAGGGGGGGCCGAAGATGGACTGGTCAAAATGTGTGACTCTGCATAGAATGGTTTAGTAGCAACTGTGAGTAACATGTTTTTTTGTCCGGTGGCAGCTAGTGGCCTATGTCAATGTTTTGACCAGTATATGAGCAGTGTCAAATACACACACATGTTTGTTGATGATTACGTCGATGGGGGCCCTATACTGCCCTTATTTGCGGGGATTATCATGATCCACGAGCAGGGTATCCCATTTTCAACCCTACAGTATAGTAGAGTGATAGAGGGTTTTTTGTATACTGTTTATCTGTCGATGAGGGATATCCAGCCCAACTAGATGACCAGAGAATGAACTCAGTGAACTCATTCTCCACCGGGTCTGCATGTGATGCGCACTTTTCGTGCGTTTTTCAGCAAGTTTCTACCAGGACTAAGCATGTTTCATTGTTCAAAACAATAGCAACATCCACTGTCTGGAAATTATCCAGCCACTGGCACGCAGTACATTTGAAGTTCCATGAGCTACCAACAAATGGCCTGCAATTTCTGGGTTATGCACCCATCTGCCGATAGATATCATGATATATCCCCGCTTAAAGTATGGCGGGCCTGGTAACCAAGAAAAACTTACCATGGTAATCATGGTAGTAGTTCAAGACAGATTTTAAGCAGATAAATCTCCAGGAAAAATAAGCAGATCCTGGACATGCGCGATGAGACAGTCACCGTGGCACCGTGGTCTCGGCAGATCAACAGGGTGCTGCGCGGGCTCTTCAGCCCTTGCAGCTTGAGACGACGCGTGACGACGCCAACTTCGAAACCTGCCCGAGATTGATTTGGAAGCTGAACTTGACAGGTACAAAGTGAGGCCCCCAAACGATAGCTGAGTTGGTTTGCGCATCCAAGTTCACTATGGTTTATGATGTGCAAAAAATTATGGTCATAAGTGTATTTAATGATGTTTTTAAACTATATATATATATATATAGTTATGTTATACCCATTCCCATAGGATCCATGTATGCTATATATGGTAACATTTACCATCAATATACCCCCAATGTTAGCATATATACCATACATGGATCCTATGGGATTTGCAGAGAACGAACTAGTTAATGGTGTTTTTTTCAACCAACGTTCACATCACTGGGCCCCAAAAAAGGCAGCCTTTTTGAAGCCCACATCACCAGGATGAGACTCCCAGAATCGACTGAAATTCACTGGTTTCTCTCTTGGTTTCTCTAGCATCCTCAGCATCCAAACAGATAGGTTCCAAAATCATCCAAGATCCATGCCTAGAAATCGAGTTATATTGAACCTGTTCTATCATTCAATTTGTTTGCAGGTTAACTCAAACGCAGATAGGAAATAAACAAATTGGATACAAAATTGATCAAAAGTGTATCTGTTTGGAGGTTACTATTTGAATGATAAAGGTACATATCTCACTGTTTTGCACCAAACAATTTCTCAACTCTCAATCTCAGCCATTTCGTTGCTCAAACGCAGCCGTTGAAGCCTGACGAAGACTCCAAACAGTTGAAAAGTCGCTGGGCCGCAATTTGTTTTTGCAGGGTTGTTTATTGCAGAACGTCATTCAATGTGTGCTTCAATCCAAGCTTATTGTTTTTTGGGTCAGTGGAGACATATTACCAGGGAGAAATCATATTGTGAAAAAGATGGCATCGAAGATTGGCCGTGTTTCAAAATTTCAAAACAGGAGAGAGGGATGCTGTAGCAGCCACCAAACATACCACAATTTCGGCAATATACTGTGGACCCCCCCACCCCAGACAATTATCTTAGCCACCAAAATGTCTTTGAATGGCCCGAATTTTAATCTATATAGTATATATATATATATACATATTATACGTCTACACACACATGAAACTATGTTGGATGTTACAATGCTGAGTCTAGTTATTCACTATCTATATCCAAGTCTCATTTAATGACGTGCTTTTTTCTCGTTGACTAAGGATCATGGCTGCAGTTACCTTGAGCTTGGTATCCTCTGTATCTTGGACGGTCCTGGTGGTGCCCCTGTTGAATCGCGAAGTTGGTGCCCTTGTTTGCTCAGGTAAACTATGTAAAAAAAGAGATGGGGATTTAACTACTTAAACTATCTTTTTACTGGGGATTCATAGTTGATGCTTCTGATAGCTAAGTTGGTTTATAATTGGGTTAGCTAGGGTTTATGATAGATATAGATAATGAGCTGATAATGAGCCGGCTTACAATCCCAGCTTTTACCGACACCAGTGCCCTTCTGAGTAACCACTGGTTGGGTACGGTCTGTTTTGTTTAAGCAGAAGTTAAACTATATAACCAGATAAAGAGGTGATCTAGGATTGGCCTGTTTTAATGTGTTGTTCCTGAAAAGAAATAGCCGGACAGTTACAGTTACTGTATGTTTTAAAACAGTGGGATATGATACAATCCAAAAAAGGAAAAAACATGGTGTGGATATCGAACTAGCTATATGGGGTTGTAGACCAACACACATTTCACAGGGGCTCCCTACTTTGTAAGCAGAGAAATCCACCCTGAATCACAAATCCTTTCATATATCATTAAAAACTGAACTTGTCTGAAAATAAAGTGCCCCTAAATCGGCCTAAATCGGTTCATGATTATGTTCCCTACAGTCATAGCCCTTAAGAGCTGTAACTGGCATTTCAAACTCCTGAAACTGGTAGATAGATAGATAGATAGATAGGTAGATAGATAGATAGATAGATATAGATATATATATTTATAGTGTCACCTAAATGTATATTATATATATATAACTTAAATGTATTATATAGGTTATATTTCTGTTCGCCAGTTGTAATTGTTTAGAGCCATAAAGTTCTCTGAAACGGGCCATAACTTGCGGAGAGACTCCCCAGAGGTCGTCCGGCCGTCCGGCCACGGGTCTCTCGGGTCTCTCGGGTCTCCGTCCTAAGGCCTTGGTGGAGCCTGGCCTTTCCTACCCTGAAGTCACTTGGGGTGGTTTGGAGTGATCAGTCGATATACTAAATCTCAATAGCTCTGATAGGTAAGTAGCAATAACTGAATTAAACTAGAAATAGTATATCGATTACCTGAAAGTAGATTGGAGTTGTCACATAGAATGTGATATATATATATACACATACATCTTAAGTAGACCTAGCTACTTAAGATCATTTAACATTTAAGTAATCTAGTTGCTACTATTGATTTTACTCAACTATCAAACTCATCTATTCAATCCAACAAAGGGTTGCAACACTTGGAAAAAATACTGTAGAACAGCAATTGTTTCCCGGGATCATTTTCGGGTTACGTGTGGCTCCAGTAACTAGCGTTAATGACTTACACGGGTTACACGGTGTTTTTTTAACCAACTCATAAGGGGAACACCCACATTGGGAAGACCTACCGGAAAGCCCTAATCGTTTCCTGTTGCTCCACCTGTTCCAGTGAATCCAGTAATTGTGGGCCACTTGACCCGCTCGGACCCAGGATGCTTCTGGTTTCTGATGAACTTTAGCAACCATAAATTGATTGAGAAATAGAGTTATGATTCGATGGATTCAGATTTTTTTTTAAAAAAGAAACTACAACGCCCCAAGATGCAAACCTATGGTTGATGGAAGAAATCCTGCACCAGTTGATAGGTGGTTTATCCCATTATTCATAGGGTTTCAGCCATCCAAGGTGAAGACCAGTCCTTTTACGATTTCAGGAATCACCAAAAAATCATTGACCATCATTGCGTTTGTGATATGGTGAATTAATGTTTGTTTATGTGATCAACAAAAAATATGTTATGGGTTGAATCCAGTTTGTTTATTCCTATATTCCTGACACGTTAAAAATTGCATTACAATATGATTTCAGCTAGAATTGGTTGAAGGGAAATTTTACAGGAAAACATAATTAAAACATAAGTCGATTTCCCCTAATACCAATCCATTTATCGATGGGTGATAGCCCCTTGTTGTTGGTTAAATCCTTATATAATGTTTGTTGGTTGAATTGTCATTTCATTCTGAAGTCCTCAAGATGTTATTAAATTGTGGCGTCATGTTTTTGACACAAACTATGCAAATATTTCTGCTTAAACCATGTTTGAATCGATTGATGGTCTATATCCTCATGTTGTATGTGCAAGCCTCTTTTTTTCTTGATCAAATCATGTTAAACCATGTTGAATCCTCGTTTTTCTCTTGGTCAGAATCAACCATTTTTATCAATTTTTGGTAGCAAACTGCGGTCAAAGTGCCATCAAAGCTCAGTGCAACGATGATTTGCAGGTCCCCCCCTATGACTTCGGACATCAGAAATTTCCTCAAGGCATAGGATGAAACAAAAGTGCAAGTCCTGAAAAATCCTCTTGGAGTAGGTAAATTCGAAGAATCACCGAAAAAAAAGATGTACCTACCCCAAGAGGATTCTTCGGTGATTCCATTATACGATTTATATAAGATAATCTTGGGATTTTATCTCCTTATATAAGATGTTACCTCCTTTCTCAGACGATTTTCTGGACATATACGTTGTAAACATGTGGAACTTGAGTTTTCATTAACAAGAAGAAAACTACGGTGATAAGATCAGGGGTTGGTTAATGTCCCGATTTGGGGATTTTGAACACTGACTGAAGTATCTGTTGATGATGTGAAGAATTAGGACATGTACGAACCGTCTGCAAAAAAACACGGCCAAGCAGCTCCGTCGATACCAAGCTGATACGCCAGGACGACCTTTGGATGAGGCAGTTGGAAAGGAGCCGGCCCGGGGCCGATTTTTCCCAGCTGGGGACGATCCCGACTACAGTTAGGAATAGTTAGGAATGGGTTGAAAACACCACCTTTTTTTCGCTTGTCGGTTTCACTAACCCAAAACAAGGCAAATTGGATTGTATACGTTGATCTTAGCCAGTCTGTTTGGATTGGAAATGGGATGACCGAAGCGTGAAAATCCCCACGGTAACTACCTCCATTGATGACTGATCCCCCCATTAGAGTCCCTGTTGTTGATGGTGAAATCAGATGTTTGCCTTATTATAATCCCATTATTACCATGTAATTTGATAATCCCAATTATTTCCCCCGGAATTTCCAGTTATTGAATTGATGGCAGTTGAATCCCATTATCGTCCCATTGAACGATGGTGAACTCCCGCCTGTTTCGAGGAGTTTGAAAAGACCGACCAAGACCATTGCTCCACCACCGAAGGACGGTTGAAAAAGTGTTGTGAGTCGAGTGTAAACCATTCCTACTTTGTTGCTTAGTTGTTATGTATTTATTATATTCATTCATATTCTAATTTCGAAAAGTTGCAAACTGAAACACATTCAATTAGACTGGCACCATGAAGCCCCTAATTTTTGCTGTCAAAACCACATGGTGTTTTCATTGCACATAGAGCCCCAACTTATTTCACATGGAGCCAAGAACATCTTTGGTGTTGCAGATGCACTGGTCCAAAAAAAATAGGTATCCACTCGAAAAATTGCCAGACCCATTCTATGCCATATTCTTCCCGAAAAATGTCAAATGTCATTGCGACCGGAAATCTGTACTGTACATGACACCAGCTTGAAGACAAGAATGATCATACAAAGCTCATACAAACCGGAGAAGTGGAGGGTTACTCGCCCAGATTCTGGGATGTGCCTGCCACATTTGGCACGGATGGAATTGGAATGAATTGGACCCAACGGACCCACATTTTCTGAGGCAATTTCTCATGAAACCTATCTATTCTTGTGGGGTTCCGATCATTTTCTTCCATTTAGATGATCATGAAATGGCAATTTTCCCAATCGAAAGCCATGAAGTTTACCAATGCAATTCCCCCTTCCATCCCCAAAAAGTGGAGATTTCTCTGTGACCATGCGACCGAACTGAACCAGCGACGCACAGCAGTCCCGAATTTTGGTCGCCGGCGTGGATGGGACATTGTTCGCGCAATAGGTCTTACGAAGCTGCAACTGCACGGCTGCGACGGTTGAAAAATCATCTGGAAGGCAAGCCTTCAATGTGAGGCCCCCCAGTTATAAGTTGGTTTATAAGCCCCAGTAACTATAGTTATAAGTACCATAAACCATAGTTATTGGAGTTATGTGCACCAACTTAGCTATCTTGGGGGCCTCACATTGTTTGAACCTTTGAAAACTGACGTTGCGTGAGGCCGAAGTCCTTTGCTGCGAGGCGCGTCTGTGCAACGTATTGCGCGAACTGGACGCCACTTCACGGTAGCTGCTCCTGCGGTGCTGTGGACTGGAGAGGAAGCGTGCGATATGCGATGCTGCTTGAAACATCGCTGGGTTTCGTGTATGCGGTTCTTGCCTACAAGATCGATGGGATGGATGCAACTTGTCCAAAACAAATACAACTGGGGGTTTCTGCTAATTACCATAGTCTAATTACCATTAACCAAAACTGTCTGGTTCTTTAACATAGCTTTCGATCATCCCCATGTTTAGTAGACGAACCATCAGAATTCATCGAACTGAATAGGCCGTGGCTGCCAGTTCGCAAACTCTTAAATAACCAGAGAACATAATATATATATACACATAACATTGTATATAACATTATATATATAACAATATACATGTAACATTATATATAACATTATATATAACATTATATATATACAACATTATATATACAACATTATAATTATTACATTATATATATAACAACATATGTATATAACAATATAATACAATATATATATATATATATAACATCATATATATAAACATTATATATTTAACATTACATATAACATTAATTTTATTTAACATTATATTTTTTAAACATTATATATATAACATTGTATATAACATTATATATATACAACATTAATTGTATATTTATATATACAACATTAATTATATATTTATATATACAACATTAATTATATATATAACAATATGTTTAAAATTATACATCACCCTGCAATGATGACCAGGAGCCAGCGCCTTTCTTCATTGAGGAAGCACTGCCTCCTTCCATGAAGGCGGTGAAGCATCAAAAACCTTCAGGGAGATCGAGGTTGATGCGTAAGATTAGCCTTGTAAAATTCTTTACACCAGATGTTTTTTTTTATCTTTTCTTACAGTTTTGACAGCTGCTGCGGCAGGTTTTTTTTACGTGTTTTAACATTTGCAACATCAGTTGGTTGGGTCATGTTGGGTCCATTTCTAGTTGGGTTTTCTCTTAGTTGCAGTAGATCCCATCTGGCTGTCATCAAACTAGCTGATCAATGCGTGTTCACATGGTAATACAAGGAGAAACAAATTACTTATATTATAAGTGGTTTATAAACCCCATTATATTTAATTCGATATAAGCATAGTTTTTTTTCCTAGGCAAATTTGCACCAACTTGACTATGGGACAGCATGGCAGTGGAACGTCTCAGGTGGCAACACCCCTTGTGGCCAACAATTTGAATCCTTTCCTGCCCGTGTGGCTGCCAAGATCTCCGATGGCTGGATGATTTTGGATGGGGGCGATCCGATGATCCCAGTTTTACTGTACCCATTTCTTGACAAACTGGGCAAGTTCCGAACAGTTTACTGGGCAAGTTTTCGTCTTTTGCATGCATTGTTGCACGAATTGACTGGTGATAAACATGACCATGGAAGACGTGTATGGACTGAGAGGCTGCCTGGTCAATATTCGAAACATTGGAAATTCAAGGCGACTGCAGTTATGGCCTTTAACAGTCATAAATGGGATGAAATAACTCCTGCAACCAGTTGATATATTATACTCAAATAAAGTTTTGTTCGCCAGGTAGAACTGCGATAGGGCTATTTATCTGTGGTGGTTATCATCAAAGGTTCCATCATTTCCAATGACGACCATTTGCGCGATGATCCAATCGCAGTTTTGCTGGTAGTTACGAGCCCATGTAAGCCACTGGTGGATAACTCCATGGTATTTTGTTCCAGTTATTAGTTTATATATGCATGCAAATATAGTACTGTAATCTATTGAAACAGACATTGCCAAACACACACACTTTACTATGCATGTTATGCATCGATTGCTGATAGATATATGAACGAAGCGTTCGAAACATGTAATGTAATCTATATTTGTTGTTCAACCATTTCTGGTAATCAAACATGACTTCGAACATCATCCGTTTGTAGCTGTAGTCACCTTTGGACGTGATTTTTCAGGCAGCCGGGTCGGATTGCAGAGTAACCCCATCTCTAACTCGATGATTGGTTGAATGAAATTCATTCAACATCATCCAAGCGTAGATAAATCGTCTAAGTGTAGATTAGACAATACCATACACCCAAGAATTAGCCGTTATGAATACACAAATTGAAGTAGACTGCTGGGTCACTTTGTATCCCATTGTATCCTCAGCCCCGCAAAGTGGTTAGTTTTATACCCGATAACTTTTTACCTTGAGTTAAGCGTGATTAAGCACATTTGTGTCGTGGTCGAAAGTCGGTATGTTTCCTACAACAATAAAGAGGATTGTCATTTCCTCATTCGTGGGGATTTTGTCAAACCCATTATGTTGAGATGCCTGTTTTGGGATGGATGACCGTAACGAAAAACCATGTTTTGACCATAGCAGATATTGTATATATGTAGATAGTTGGTTGTTGTTTACATGGTTTATAAACCCGTCGAACTATAATTTCATCACCCCAAACCTCAGTTAAATAAACCAACGAACAACTAACATGAATAAACTATTTAATTATATAATGAATATATTGAGATAAATCAACGATCAATCTCTATGTTTGGTAGTTCAATACCCATTTTCCATGGATTTCTCCATTCTTGATGGTTACAATCCCCATTTTCTTGCAGTAAGTCATCCCATTTATGGAATGTATAACCCCATAGGAAAAACAACATTAATAACCAGTATGAACCATCTAAAAACTGCTAAACGGGCCGTAACATCTATGCTCAACTGCCTCCAAAAAAAACCGAGCCATCTTGTCGAGGCCAAGAAACATCCCCGCTTCGAGAACGAAGTGGGCACCACAACACAGTTTCAGTGCCTCGATCGAGTTTCAGTGATTAACGATAATATACAATAATAATATAACTAATAAATACTAATAATAATTTAAATAATTATATTATTATAATAATATTAAATATAACTTTTGATTCAGCCAGCAAACTGCGAGAAATTCGGCTGCATCTACAGTTTCAGTGGCTATGGTTCTCGCAGTTTGCCGGCTGAATCTACAGTTAAATAGCCACAAGGCCATAACTCCTGCACGGAGGTGGGTATATACGGTATATATCATGAAATATATCATTGAAATGAGGCTAAGTGTTTGCCAGTTATAACTGGAAAGACGTGCCACAGCATGACAGGTCGCGGAAATGGTACATCTTAATACCTTTTTGCTGGTTGGAATATCTGAAAGTTTCCAATTCCTCTCATTGATTGTCTAATTTCCATGGCTTTTGGGGGTTTGCAAGAATTGGACGAAAGGAACACTAATTGCGATGGCAAGTCTACAGTTAGTTGCTGTGGGAAACAGGAGGAAACCATGGTTTCTAGTAAATATTTCCTTACACCAACCCAATGGCTTAAGAATTGGGAGGACACAAGTTGGTTGATTGATATTGCACAAGAACCTATACACACATACATATATAGTCATATATATATATACTGGTAGGTGGTTTCAAACATGAATGGATTATTTTCCATTTCATATATGGGATGTCATCCCAACCCCATTGACGAAGTCCATGATTTTTCAAGATCGTTGAAACCACCAACCAGTACATATATATATAATACACACACATATTATGTTTGGCTGATGAAGATTGTGAAGGGAAGGAGAGGCTACAGAGGGGTCACAAAGACCGAGGGTTCACGATGACAATCACGGCGCTGTGGCCAGCGCAGTAGTAATGAGGCCTCCTAGGGATAGATCATGCCATTCAAGCCCTGTGAGACAACAGATGTTAGTATATGTATATATATATATTATAAACCAATTACTACATATAATGGGGGTTATAATGGTTTATAAACCAATTACTACATATATATATATATATACATATCTGGGTAAATTATGACGACCTCACTGTTCTCCCGAACCCTGGAATAATGGTAAGGGGAACTATCCCAATATGCTCTTATCTCAGCTTAGTGAATTATTATAATTTACCCATATATATATATATATGTATACTTACTGAAAATGGGAAATCATAGTATACAAACATGTTAATGTATAATATTATGTATTTAGTTTCAACCATATAACTGTGATTTACCCATATACATATTACTAAACATATGTTTAGTATCATAGATGTAATACCATCATAAACCATAGTTAATATATCTGTAGTTAAACCATATTAAAATAATATTTACCATGGGTTCGTGAAACATTATAATTTACCCCGCCCTATAAATCTATGTTTAGTACAATGTCAGGCCCCCCAGTTATAAGTTGGTTTAGATTCGCCCCAGTAACTAGTTCGTTATTTGCGTACCATAAACCATCGTGAAATTAGAGTTATGTTCACCAACTGAACGCATCGAACGGGGGCCTCACATTGTAGGAAGCCTAGGGTCTGGTATAAAAAACCCATGGTTTACCCTCTGGTAAACGTTTTCATAACTATGGAAAATCACCATGTTTGATGGCTAAATCATATTGTACAAGGTGGTGCCCCCTAGTTAAACAGTTATAAAATTTGGCTTATAAATCCCATTAATTATAGATATATCACCTATAAACCATAGTTATTGAAGTTATCAACCAACTTAGCTATCGAACGGGGGCACCACCTTGTATCAATCATCTTTGAAAATGGGGTACCCGGTAGGTAATCCCACGTGGCGAAACATCCCAGCCAGGATCGACTGGTGACACCGTTGCTGTTGTCTATCCAGCAACAGCAACCGTTCTGATTCCATAGAATTATCCCATAAGATTGTCCCTATCAAGCCATGCAAACCAATATGACTCCTATGATTTTCCCATAGATGTTCCATAGATTTCCCATTTTGTTAGCCCATAACATCACCATTTTTCGTAGGAAAAAAAACCAGCGGTTTCTTCAACACCCGCTTTCACCTCAGGTTTAGCTGGGAGCCTGCAGTCATCAGGACCGGTGGCGGTGGGCTCGCCGGTGGTTGTTGGTTTGTAACATATTCCTTCATATCTATATAGTTATTAAGCTATAAATCTCATGGATTCTAATGGGGGGTGTAATATAATGTATAAATGTTTATAACTTATTTGTTAAGTATAGTTTATCCTTATGATTACATCTATCTTCATATTTGTTTATTCTAATGGGCCAATGGGGGTGTCATGAGGGTTGTTTATATGTAACATCTTCACTTCAAATAAATAAATTGTATAACTTGTTGAAATTGTTTTAATCCTACCCCCCAAGTATTAAATTTAAAAATGGTCTCAAATAAGTGTAAATCTCCTACGTCCACCATGCTTTCTTGGGGATGCTTAATATTCGGGGGAAGCGATTAGTAAAAAAAATGTTGAAAGTAGATTCTGTAAAATACATTAAAATACTACACATATATATATATATAGATAAACACATCTATCAAAAAAAACAAAACAACGGAATTTACACTAATTTTTGTCAGAATGGAACTGAGCCATCATTTGGGGGCCCCACCTTGTAGATATTGACGTTGCCCTGGGTTTGAACATGTCCCCAGGTATGGCAATTTGAATGGGACATAACCCACAGAATATTGAGGTGTTCCCAACATGTTCAGGCAAACCAGAATCCTAAAGACGCGCGCTGAGTCCAAGAACGGGATCAGTTCAATACGCACTCTCTCCGATCACATCTCGACAAATCACTTCAATCTTTGATGCTATAGCATCAATTTAACACGGCAGAATGACAACCGGCTTCCAACACGTCGAAGTTCTTTGGTCGCTGTACATTGTTTCGATCTGAGAATCTGAAGCATGGAAGCTGAAGTGGTTGCTTACTGAATCTTCACTGGGTGGTTCATGGTAGACACGCAGCTTTTCAAGTCTCTAAACCCAGGTAGGTCATTAGCAATGGTGCTTGGTTCACGGTCATTCACAGCTTCATCACGGCTTGTTCAGAGGTCAACTACTGCTTGGTGGTTTGGAAAATGAATTTTATTTTCCATTCAGTTGGGAATGTCATGTCATCCCAACTGACGAACTCACTCCATCATTTTTCAGAGGGCTAGGAATCCTTAGGAAGGGTAGGGTTCAACCACCAGACAACCACTTGCTGATATAGCAGATGGTTGATGACATTGGCGTATTACCACGGCTTGTTCATCTAAGAAGATCCTCAGTGAGTTCATAATATATAACTTCTCCGCGAAGTTTGTATACTATGATTATGTGTGATTTTCTGTGATTGGTTGCCATAAGTATACCTCTATAACATACCATAGGAATATTTCAACATGCCATATAAACATACTAGTATACTGCTTGGTGATTTCGGTATCCCGACTATGGTTCAGTTCAGAATCCTGCGATCCATAGCTGTCCGAGCCATTCTTGGAGTCTTGCGACATTGTGTATCATCATGTGAATGATGTATTTCTTAACATGATGTATGTCTTAACATATCATATCTATATCTATATATCTATATCTATATCTATATCTATATATATATAGATGTACATATTAAGTATTCATATACCGGTGTCATGTTACATGTTTTCAGTTTTCATGTTAAAAAAACATACACCCTGCTTAAAAGATGTCTTTTTAAACTATTCCTTTTCAACGAATGGTTCAGCCGATCATTGCAGGACTAGTGACCTGTCGGCCTTCAAACAGTTGACAGCGTAACTTTCGCCGCCGGGGAGTGCCTACTGCGACCTGGGCGGTTCCGCAGTGGCGCGGAGGTAGGGAGAAGTGATGGGATGGGGTGGCTTGGGTAAGGCTAGATCATGTTGTAGATTACATACACGCTTACAGATCCCAGATGCTCCATATATGGAATATTTACCTACAAAACTGGGTCATTTTTGGGGTAAATGTAGGTAAATATTCCGTACATGGAGCATTTGGGGATAGTCAATGAGAGAAATTCACGATTTTGAGATATCCTAAGCAGCAAAAAGGTGATATATATATATATACACTAAGATATATCAGCATATATCAGCCATTTCTGTGGCCCTTTTCACAGTTATAACTGGCTAGCTGACCCGATTTATGCGATACATAAGCAATGAGTTGCAGGAGTGACATCTCATTTATAACTGTTAAGGGCTATAACATGCTATAATTATAACTGTATTATATGGGTGGGTCTGGAAATGGGGTATACATCCAGTTGTAACCTTTCAACGGGGAACATGATGATTAACCATTGGGGCTGGGGGTACAATATTTTCACACAAAGCCCACTTATGTATATAAATACATACTGTTATATACACACATGTTTGCCCATGCTTGGGAGGAAGGCAATTACTGTAGTTGTTTTATTTGCCAGTGTTTTTGGAGAAATATGTAAGAACAAATCGTGCTCAAAGGATTTTGTGACAGAGTAGCTGGCACGCTCGCCATGGTTCATAGGGGAAACCCAAAAGAATCGAGAAGGTGTTTTTTTGTTCCCCGCAGTGCAAGTGGCTGGCAACCTGTTCTCGTTAAATTCAGACATGGGCCTTCGTCCATGGGAGTAAAGTGAGCTTGTACCTTGTGGAAACTGCTATATAGATGCATGGATGATTCTGTTTCTTCTTTTTGGGCTGGGTTGCGGGTTCATTGTCACAGTTCCACCCCATCATGTATTCCCTATTCCCCCGTGTGGAGGTCTATTGGAGGGAAGGGGTTGCCTATGATGAAATGTTTGTTCACTCTCCCAAAGCAAACCACTTGTGTATGTTTATGATATTTTCCGATCAGTGACCACTGATATCTTATGGGGGTGTCTTAAAATGGGGTGTCCCCCGCAAAAGGTGTAATCTGGGATGATTTGTGGGTACCCCCATTTTAGGAAGGCTCAATATATGGCTGCAGCTCAAAATGTAAGATCCCGATCCATACCCCAGACACACAGTCAATCCTTACCCGTGATCCATACCCTGCATTTGCGTGACTCCTTCGTTCCATACGTCCGGATCACCTCGTAGCGATCCGTACCCGTTTTTTGGAACCATAGCCGTATTATATCAGAACATATAATATAATATATATATATATATATAATAGCTATATCTATAATCTATATATGATCAACTTAAGGATGATGTAATATGTACAGTTACAAGCGAAAGTCTACAGGAAAGCATGGTTCTTGCCATGAAACATGGTGGTTTTCCTGTAAATTTTCCCGGCAAAACAGCGCTTCTCGTCGCTGGTAGGTCCTCAGATTGTCTCACAATGAGTTTCTGCAGGCGGGGATGGGCAGGCGATTTGGATCGATCAGCTTGCTATCAACTTACAGTTTTCTACAATGTGGCCCCCCCCAGTTACAAGTTGGTTTATAAGCCCCAGTAACTATAGTTATAAGTACCATAAACCATAGTTATTGGAGTTATAAACCAACTTAGCTATCTTGGGGGCCTGCGGTAGCAGGAGTGCGCTAAGTTCCCAAACGCCCTTGTAGTAGGGGATGTTCACAATCGTATGGCTCAAATGAAAACAGATGGAAGATGCCCAGCTTATGGGCACAGCTAGGCAAAACCCAAATGCCACACCTGAGGGCAAACAGTCTTTTCACGTCTGGGCCAGAGACTCAAGTCCTGCGGGCAAGAAAGGTCAGATGCCCCTGCTGGAAGAAACATGTACATGTCATGACTCAATCGGAATGGTTCTGTCGCACCAATCCAAAAGGTTTCTTGAGTCATGACCGGCAAAAGGTTGCAAAGCCTGCAGCTGTCGCATTTGCTGAACAGCTTGATGCCCCGTCTTTCGGGCTTTCTTTTCACTCAGAATGAAGCCAGGGTCGTACTTGAGCTTCCAGATCTGAGCCTTGATGAATTGAAGAAGTCCTTCTCGGGAAGAGCGATGCTTTTTGGTAAGAGCATCACCAAGATTCTAGTCACCACTGATCCATATCAGCTTGGCAAGTGACTCGGAAAGCTGTTCTCGTAGCTGGTATGCTTGCAGGGCTGAACGAACGTTGGACAATCCCAAAAGAGGTCCTTCGTTCTTGTTGATCGCGTCAAAGGCACCTTTGGAGTCAGTGGCGAGGATGCTGGGCACATACTTCACAAGGTCGTTGGCCTTCAGCAAAATGTTCGGCTCCTCAATCGCGCAGCATCCATTAAGCTGGCACCACATCCATCTTGTCCTGAAAAGATGGTCTTCACCCTCCAAAGTAGCTTGCATTTCACCATCGTTTGTTGAGATGGCCTTACGTTTCAACTTCCATGTCTTCCAGGCAATGGGGTTCAAACGTCCTGCTTCGCCATGAAGTTGTTCAGGGCCGCCAAGACATGTGAGAAGACCTCCGGTTGATCCTCCTTGTGGTCGGTTGGCATGAGCTTGATCTGCCATCGTCACCACCACAAAGTCTTGCCAGTGTCGAACTTGAGGAAGACGATATAGTCGGAGAACCATTGGGCTTGATCTCACCTCCTTGATCAAGTCGTTGATCTCCTTGGCCACGGCAATGTTCTTGTTGACGGTCAGCTCGGTCAAAAGCAAATTGACTCGGGAGCATGCTTGAATCTGTGTCTGCGTAGACACCCACTGCAGTGCACCCAATGAGGCACGGCAGGCTGCCACCTCATCTGAAGTCAATGTAGATGAACCGTCACCACGTAGACGATGTTCAGGAATGGCCACATTCTGTAAGGTCTCCACGTAGAAGTCCTGGTTGAGCTCGATCCAATGGTCATCACCTTTGGAATTGACAGAGACATCCACACCTGTATGTCGAAAAACGTCCTCCTTCATAGTTCCCCACTTGTAGGCTTCGTCGATCTGTCTCCTCACTTCTAACCACTTTGGATTCTCAAGATCACCGCCACGATTGAAATCATCAACGTGTCCACCAACGAATCCAATCACACGGTATTGATCAGCAGGGTTTCGGGGCTCCTCATTCTTCTCCGTCCAAACCCAAAAGCTGTTGTCGCCGACCAAGCGGTGTCCTCCAAGACGAGAAAATGTCGCACTGACATCATTCCATAGTCCACGAGGTGCAGTAGCGTTGCCATAGACGTTGCGCAAGAGTCGTAGAAGCTCATGGTCTTGAGCACCCAAGGCTGCACGCAACTCTGGGGCGCCAGGAGTCCATAGTTCCTTTGATTCCATGTCGGCTGCACCAGTCTGTAGGAATGCCGTCTTCATATCCAAAGATTCCAGTTTCCATTTCCTCTGAGAGCAAAGTACCAGGCTGAGATGTTTCATCAGCTGGCTTTGTACCGGTGACGTGGTACGAAAGTCTGGAGATTCCAAGTCGGGGTGTTGGAATCCCAACAACACAATGCGAGCTTTCGCTTTGCGGGAGAGGTCTGCAGTGTAGGTGGTCTCCTTGTTGTTCTCACGGTCCATTGCTGCATCTTCACGACTCTCCTCAGGAACTCCTTTCCATGTCAACACCCAGCGAGCACGAAGTACTCTGTCAGATTGCTGTGCTTTCTGACTCTCTTCGAAAGAAAGACAACGGCGAACAGCCTGTGTCTTCAGGAAGCTGTTCACCTCGCTGTTCTTTGCATTTTCAAACAAGCGTTTCTCCTCCTCCGTCAAACGCCTGTAGTTCACCTCTGCAGAGTTGACCTTCTTGGAGAGGTAGATCACTGGGTCTGCCATGAAAAGTTTCTTCTGTCGGTTGCTCTCAAAGTTCAGGTCGATGTTCATCACATAGCCTTCACCTGATTCCAAAATCGCTGTAGAAAGATCCAAGGCCAGTCCATCTTTGTCATCATCAGATTTCTCATCCTCATCGTACTTGGCCTTCTTCTGTTCTGGTTCTGGTACTGGTTGATCGTCCTCAATGAGGATCTCATCTTGTGGTCCTTCAGGTCGATCCAGAAGAGGTGTTTTCGAGTTTGTTGAATCTCGGCGATGTGATGTCATCTTTGGTTTCTTTGCTTCTCCTCCAAATTCTCGCTCCAACTCGTCCTCAGTCATCTTGGAGGGGTCAGGGACGTTGTCATACGCATTGACCGTCTCCTCTGAAGATCTCGGCAGAGACAAAGAGCTCGGCAAGGCTGAGGAACTCGGCATGGGCAAAGAGCTCGGCAGTGCTCCAATTGCGCCAGCAGGAAGTTCAGGAAGAGAAGGAATGCCACCTGAAGTGATCGGAAACTTCCCGGGAAAACGTACTCGAGGCTTGATGAAGGTCTCCACATTCGGTGCCTCGGGCAAAGGAAGTTCTTCTCTCTCATCCTCTGTAGGCTCCTCACCAGTGATGTCAATGAACTCACGCTTGGGGATCATGTCGCTGAGCTGCTTCCAGACATGCGACTCATCTCCTTGTGCTTCAAAGATCTCTTTCTCTCGCTCTGAAAGGGGCCGCACAGAGTGCACAGAGGTCTTGTAGATACGGTTTCCCAGAATCACCCACAACACATGTTTTCGATCTTCTGCATGTTGTCCTGGAGTCAGCTCGTGAAAGACGACTCGTCCAGGACCAACCCATCGTGGTTTGGCTGTGTGACGATGTCCACCTTTGCGTCCAGCATAGATCGTGTGAGGCAGAAACTTCCTCCAGATGAAGACCGGCTGAGCCATAGAGAAGGTCCTCAGTGGCTGTCGAATCGATGAGTTCTTCAGCTTGGAGAGGGCGACCTTGGCTCGAGATTTTCGGGCACATTCTTCTGCAAGTTCACGTTGAGCCATCAATCGCACGAACTCATTCTGCAGGCGATCCACTGGAAGCGAAAGTTGTTGCCGTAGATCATCATCACCAACTTGGTTCTGTTGGCCGTAGGCCCATTGAATGCTGGTAAAACCCTTCGTGAACTCGGTGTTGTTCAGGGCACAAGTTGCCATCGCAAGGGTCAGCACTGGGTCTTGATCAGGTAGCGATTGTTGTAGAAGAGAAGCTGTTTCTTTGACTTGTCCAATTCCTCGCTCTGTGATCCCATGAGCCCAGGATTCACCTTCTGGTGGAAAGTAGGGTTGGATGGCAGAAGTCATCGTGTTGGCATTGTCAAAGACCACATAGCGAGGTCGGGGTTTGTCGACCAACCACCTCAGCATCAGGGCACGAATGACCTGGTCTGCAGTTTCAGTTTGATATTCTCCATGTTTGTATGTAAACAAGGTTTCAGTGACTCGAAACTTTGTGGCAAGGTCGATGAAGAGGATAAATTTGACCTTCAGGTCCTGAGTTGGCACTGTCCATTCTGCGATGTCCACTCCAATCTGTTCCCACGCAGCTGGAAGTGGATGCATAGAAGACGGTGGGATCTGCTTCGAAGAAAGTCCACCAGGTTGAAGTTCTTGACAAATTGGGCATGAGAAGTCTTTTGCTGCACGAATCTTCCACTCAGGCAGTTGAGCGTCCTGAGTCATGCGCACCAAATTGCGCTTGGATGGATGACCTGCTGCACGGTGTAGTCGATGAAGTTGAGCCTTCCACTTCTCAAGTTCTTGTGCTGAAGGTTGAGGGGCTTCTGGATCATCTTCCAGAATGCTTGGCTCTGGCTCAATCGATTTGTCATCATCAGGAAGTTCACCAACTTCGGCAGGAGGTTCAACTTCGGCAGCATGTACAGATTTCACACCAGGGTCCTCCACCAGCTCGGTAGACCAAAGGAGTCGCCACCAGCGATCAGGTAGAAGATGTTGACGCCAATGTCGGGCAATGGAGGCACACATCTGAGGTGGGTAGTATGCGCTTCGGCTCGTCTCCACCCCATGTAGCCACTCATGAGTATGGTTGCCCAGGCAAACTCGTAGTCGAAATTCTGCATGGAAAGACACTGAAGTGGTGCGAATCCTCCAAGCCTTCTTGATGAAGTTCCCTTTTGCGCTCTTCAGACCAAATCTGCAGCCATCGATCCTGCAGTCATAGTACTGGTCCAACTTGTTGAAAAAGTCCTCAATGATGCGCTCCTTCCATCCTCGGCATCGATGAGGCCATTCCCAGAAGAGCTCCACAGTAGGGTCGAACTCCACAACAGCCTTCAAGAACCGCACGAGCTTCTTGAACATCTGACGTTCTCCACGACGCCTCTTCTCCAAAACTTCTCGACGATCGTGATAGTTGAGGTCCACCCAGTCGCACCAGAATGTGCACATAGTGCTAATCCACAACTTCTTGGGTCGTTGATGTTTGAAGAGAGTCCAAAGCCGCTCGTATGTTTCGTCCTTGTACAAGTCAAAGCCGCTGTGAAGATTGATCCGTTGCACTGGGATTCCCTGCTTGAGGCAGGCATTGCTCAGCTCAGATTCCTTCTGGCAGAACATTTCCCAAACCAAAGGCTTGCCGTCGTAGATGGTGTCCACCATGTGGTTCTGCAAGTCGGAGTTGATGCTGTGAATCATCTCCATCATCTTGTGACCAACTGGAAGTGGTAGCTTCTTGCGATTCTCCTCATTCTCGATTTCATTCAAGCCAAGCTGGGCTCGCCGTAGGCAGGTTCCAGCTCCACATCGTCCGGCACAGGCACTCGAGAGGCAGTTGTCTGTGATGCCATTCTTTCCGCCACCAGCTCCATCACCCGCTGCTGCTCGTCCCCCGTGAGGTAGTCCATCGGATTGATCTCCGCAGTGGGTTCTGCAGGATGAAGCTCCGTCCAACTGCTCGGTGACTGATTTGACGATTGGGGCTCCTCCACGGCATAACCGCCTGAACTCTGTGTTGTCGAAGTTGGGGTTGCCTTCGCCTTGGCTTTGGTGATCTTCTCCTGGTTCTTCTTGAGGTCGAGCTTGTAGTTGTCCAGGAGAACTCGAAGTCGTTCTTCGGCCATCACCTTGTCGAGAATGACCTTGACCAGCTCCTCGTTGGGCTTTTGATCTGCGGGCATCATCTCCTTGAGCTCCTTGAGGGCCTTCGTCATGTTGCCCGGATTGATCGTAGAGGTGCTGTTGCAAGGCGCACCCTTGAAGGGGATGTAGAGCATCCTCAGGCCGCACACGGTGCAGTTGTGCCACTTCCCGTACTTGTTCGCCTGATCCTTCCCGGCCACGTGCTTGTTGAAGCAGGGCCACATCGTCGGTTGAGTTCGAGGATCTCGGCCATCGGGAGGCATCTGTCGTTCCATGTCCATCTCGTGCTCCACCTTCTTGGGTGCCATTGGTCGAATTGGAAAGCCACGGGGTGATCAAGTTTCCCATGAGCCGTTGTTGCTGCTGAGGAAATCCATTGAGTTCACGTCGGCGCTCCCACAAGCGATGAAATTGACGATGATCCGATTCTACAATAGCAGTTGTTGAAACAACCATGCAATCCAGTTCAGATTCCATTGTAAAAACGTCTCCAACACTTGAAGCGACCGACTCACCCACTGGCTGGATCATGAAGTTTTCAACCCAATGTACCCTTTTTGGTGGGAGTTTTTCTTGGGGTTCTTCAGATTGGATGATATGGATTGAGGGATGTCCTTCTTGGGAAGTTTGACCACAACAAAGAAAATCGACAATGTCAACCATGTAGTGCTGTTTGGCGTTCTGGGGCATGTAAAAGGGTTGACTATCTTGAAAAGCTGCACAAACTGCAAAACCGTCCTTGAAATCCATGACCAACCCGTTGCCCCTGATGAAGTCCATACCTACCAAAACCGGCACCAACATGGAAGGATTGAACCAGTCCTCTTGAGATTCAGGTGGATCAGGAAGAGTATAAGCTTCAAAAGTTCTCTGAGTTATACTGGATGTGATAGTCACGTGGTGCAAAGCTCGTCCCCAGCTTCCTGAACCAAACCTAAAACGAGGTCTCCTTTTTCCATCGATGCGGACTGATGCAGATCGATCCACGTCCAACACAGCTGTCAATAGCCGTTGAATGGACGACTGAGGGCCAGCAGAGCAGGTTGCTCCACAATCTAACATTCCCAGGTGACCAAGGTTTTCCTGTTCAACCTTGGCAGCATCCATGCTGACTTCGTTGGGTTCTCGGTCAATCTGGAGTCCATGAAAGTCGTAGGCCTCCTGGTAGTAGGAGTTGACATGGTTCCGATTCTTGCTCTGGAGTTTCCCTTTGTTCTGACTCTTGCCTTTGCCCTTCCCCACGTAGTAGTTGTAGAACTCCTCAAACATGTAGGCCATCTTCCCACCAGGTTTCCCTTTCGATTTGCCTTTGTAAAAGGCGAAGTTGTCGTAGGGCTCGTCCATGGTGTAGTGCATGTGTTTGCCATAGCCTTTACCCTTGTTTGAGGGAGTGTTCTTGTCAGGGCAATCACGGGCTCGGTGATTTCCTCCACAAACAAAACATCCCGTAGAGGAAGGATTTGAAGACTGACCAAATCCTCGATCCTTGCGAATCTGTTGACTCGTCCGTTGGGCCTGGGACCAAGATCGGTCAGCAGCCATAGCATCTTGAGAACCTTCTGAAGGAGGTTGATCACTGGCTCCAGCACCATCATCTTCTCCTTGATCATCATCGACTGGATGCCAGTCACTGTTCTCCCATGCCATGTTGGCCCAAGAGTCAGACCAATCCCAAGGATCGTCCTGCCAGTTCCATTCAGAGTCCTCCTCGACGGTGTGCAGGTTGTGGTGAAGACCTTGTCCAGAATGATGAGCTCGAGGATGTTGTATCTGCTCATCAAAGAGGATGTTGAGGGCCGAGCTCACCGCGTCATAGTTCAGCTGGTTGTTGGTACTGGCCAAAATTGACCTCCATTCTTCGCCATTGAGCGCTGCTCCACTCAACAGTCGCCAGCCACGCAAGGTCTTGAGGATGAAGGAGTCGGTTGAAGCCAACGTAGACGATGTAGTTTTCCCAGGCTGTCCAGCTCGAGGTCGATCATCACCAGGTCCGTCGCCAGGTTCGTCAGGATCTGCTTGAGGTACCTGAGAGTAGCCAGACTTGCCTGACTTCTTGCTCTTTGTTGAGCCACCATGAGAAGTCTCGCCATCATCATCATCTTCATCTTCCCCTTCACCTAGGATGTCATCCAACAGGAAGGCACCAGCTCCTCCATCATGTAGGTCCTGCAAGGCCTCGATGAACTCCTCATAGAAGAGCGTCTCACGCACCAAGTAGGAGCTGATTGACTCCCCAGGATTCCTGCGATAGTTGAAGTATTGCTGCATCACCGCTGCCGTGTTGGGCAACTTCTTTCTCACCAAAGGGCTCTGCTCCAGTTTGCGAAGCATCACTTGTACTCCTTGAGGTCCAGCTATGTCTGCACGACTCCATGACATTGCCAGCAAACGTGCTGGTCCGGTCAGCTTGGACACCAGTCTGGGTCCAATCAGGGCTCTCTGAGATTTCTTGGTTCCAAGGACATACCAAGACACCTCTCTTTGGTATCGCCGCCATCCTCTCGGGTTTCCGTCCCACGAAGGAACTAGTTCAGCCGATTGGGGTTTGCTGTCAGCCATCGTTTCGACAGGCTTGCAAAAAGTCAACAGGCTCAAAATGAGGTCCTGGATGTAGTAGGGCTCCCACTGAAGGATGCCAAAGAAAAGTCAATGATGAAGAATTGCCGCCAACTCGTTCGAGATCAGCGTGAAATTGAGGCTGAATCCTCTGGCTTGTCACGAGGTAGCTTCCGCAGAAGTGGATCGTCCAGAATCTCGATGCACAGCAGTCGAGGTAGACGATGCACCTGTTTCAGCTCGATCACCACGACCTTTAGGCTCGGGCTCTGGTTCAGGCTCCGACCGTTCTGGAGATATCCGTCTCCTCCTCAGTCTGAGGATATCGGGGTGTGGAGGCACAGGTCGGAAGGCGTTGAAAGGCTCAGGAAGCCTATCACCAGAGCGCGGTGATCGCGACCTCGATCGTGTAGTCCGACCGCTCAAGGACGTCGTCCTCGTCAAAGCTGTAGGCCAAGAAGCCGTAGAGCTCGAAGAGAAGTCCAGGAGCGCTGGAGCGACCAGGCGCTCCGCTACCAATGCGGTAGCAGGAGTGCGCTAAGTTCCCAAACGCCCTTGTAGTAGGGGATGTTCACAATCGTATGGCTCAAATGAAAACAGATGGAAGATGCCCAGCTTATGGGCACAGCTAGGCAAAACCCAAATGCCACACCTGAGGGCAAACAGTCTTTTCACGTCTGGGCCAGAGGCTCAAGGCCTGCGGGCAAGAAAGGTCAGATGCCCCTGCTGGAAGAAACATGTACATGTCATGACTCAATCGGAATGGTTCTGTCGCAGGGCCTCACATTGTAGGGCAATCAACTGGATGGGTAGAAACTCATCCAAAATCGTCTTTTGGTATCAATGGGATTATCTACGTTCACCAGCTAAGAAGTTGTGTGTGTTTTTTGGCAGGGTTTCTAAGATTGGCCATGTTTTGGCCCGGAACACCCTTATAACTGGCTAACTTACCCCATTGAGTGAGATATAGATCTTTCATGATTATATATATATAACCTTAGTTGCAGGAGTTATAATTCTATTTATAACTATTAAGGCCATTGGCGTGTATGAGTCCTTCTGCAGAAACGCGATAGGAAACCTGTTGAAATCGTCTTGTTGGATCCTCTTGATATTTGAAGACCTTTTAAAACCATTCCGAATATTTACAAAGAAATGGAGTTCAAGCGATATCAAATCTTGACTCTGTGATGGGAGAAATGGTGTGAAAAAACACCTTTGAACGACACCTGAAACACACTGAATTTCAAGGACTTCACGGGACCTCACGATGTGTATCCATTCAACGTCGACAGATGCCGTGGGAAATTTCGAATGTGATCTATGAAACA